TTTATATTTGTTCGTGTGCATGGATTCCTAAACGTTTTTTTTAGCCAAACTTCTTTGACTTAAAATATTTAGTTGAAATATCCCTAAGGAAGTTAATATTTCCAATAATTTTAACAAGACATTTGCATGTTCACAGTTTTCTGATGTTGGTTAATGTCCCATTGACATGCAGGTAAATGATTAAATGTTTCTATTTTTAGTGTTCAAGTGCTTTATTTAGTTTTTATTTTAAAATATATTTTTTTATTTTTCATTTTTATGACTGCATTAATTATTAGCTTTCTATCAACTCAATCAAACCCACTGCAGTTCTTACATTAGTCCCAGTTTGGGGAAACCCTGGAAAGTAATGTTAATGCTTATGTTATATCAATGTGGTACATTTAATGGAAAGTTTAAAGCAAATAAAAAAAGTAATTTTCAAAAGTAGTCAGAATAGATTACTCAAAATGTGTAACCTTGATTGTTACTAACTACAATTTTTGTCATGTAATCTGTAATCAGTAACAAACTACAATTTGTAAGTAATCTACCCAGTACTGTCTAGTACAACTACAGTCCTTTTGTGGAAGAAGACTGTTAGTTATGGAAATATTAATTGTCACTGATGAGATTTTCCATCTAATAATCTGACAAGCAAACTTAATTTGGTTTCTTCAATAAAAACAAGCAATTTGTTTGAACAGCACTGCTATGTAAAATATCACAATATAGCATTGACATCTAATTGAAATTCAAAAGAACCTTATCTGTTAAAGAGTATTTTGAAATGTTAAATCTTATATTTAAAAAAACAAAATTAGGCTGTCCAGTGATCTATTGTGTGTGGCAGCACTTTAAATTGAACAGAAATCACAAGACGAGTGAATTCATCAAGGACTCGGAGGCTTTTAGCACTTAGTGCACGCATACACACACCTTGCTCAAAGAGAAAACAGACATGCTTCATTGATTACCTTATCTGTTGAATGTCAAAGGGGAAGATTAAGGCATTCATTTCCATACAGAGATGAGAAGGTGAGAGGGGTGGTGGTGTGCTGCAAAGCAGTTATGTAAATGATCCCAATACAGCCACCGACGATGCACTGTGAGTAATCTTAAATCTGTATTACTTACGACACAAAACCCACAAAGAAAATGACCAAAAAAAGACTCCTCTCGAGCTTGTACTCTGCATTAAGCAGAATAAAAGGAGAATTTTTGAAGCACACGGCCTTGTTTAAAATCTAGGTCATGCTATTTTCTTTCTATTGTGTGCCACATCTCTTCATGATAAAGAGGCTGAAATCACTTCGCTGATCTTAATAGCAGCTGCACTCTGGAAATACGACGTTACAGTGCAATTTGCTACAATACATGAAGAATTCTCGCTGCCGCAGCCATTTATCATTTTAGACAAATAATGCGTGCTTACCATCAAAGAACGAGACCGATGTGTAGATTTCTGTGATTATTGATTGCCCCCAGGCAACTATGATGAAGACAATAAAACTGGCTGTTTCATGCTTTGTCGTTAATGTAAGGGGAATGAAGAAGAATTCGAGTCATTTGTTGCGCTCATTTAGCTCATGAGATTTTTAGGCCTAAAAATCAAATAAAAACCACTATCAATATCAGGACAGAGAAGAAATTAATGGAATGAAAATATGCAATAAATTAACAGCATATTAGGGGGCAATTAGGATGCGAAGAGGGATTTAAAAATCCATTCTTTCACAGCTTTCTCATAAAGGCTGTGCAAATGTGTTTTTTAGCTCTCTAGGGAGCACTGCACGTGTGGAAATATGAGATTTGAGAGTTACGGCTGAGGGCAAGATAAATAATGAATAACATCTTAAATTTCAGTCTGTGTTCAGTCACTCAAAGCTATTGTATGACTTGTGCACAAGCTGTTTTATGGTGGTGTTTTTGACTCGGTAAGGCTTTTAACACTTGAATTAGTTAACCCTGGGTCATTCTAAATGGAACCCTGGGTTATCTTGCTTCACAATCCACACTGCTCATAATTTCAACGGGGTTAACAATTAATTCTATTCATAAACTAACATTCCACACTGAACATTCATCCCGGGTTAACATTCTTATTTGCATATTTGACGTGTTTCACAGCTTTCTCATAAAGGCTGTGCAAATGTGTTTTTTAGCTCTCTAGGGAGCACTGCACGTGTGGAAATATGAGATTTGAGAGTTACGGCTGAGGGGAAGATAAATAATGAATAACATCTTAAATTTCAGTCTGTGTTCAGTCACTCAAAGCTATTGTATGGCTCGTGCACAAGCTGTTTTATGGTGGTGTTTTTGACTCGGTAAGGCTTTTAACACTTGAATTAGTTAACCCTGGGTCATTCTAAATGGAACCCTGGGTTATCTTGCTTCACAATCCACACTGCTCATAATTTCAACGGGGTTAACAATTAATTCTATTCATAAACTAACATTCCACACTGAACATTCATCCCGGGTTAACATTCTTATTTGCATATTTGACGTGTCAGTGTCATTGATTGGACGATGATTGGATGCAGCACAATCTGTTTACATAACAACTCTGTTTACAGAGCGCATTGCGCATTCTCAGACAATACAAATCTCAGACAGTAAACTAATGCCAACAGATTACAAACAAAATTATAAAACATGTTAACAATCTGCTAAACCATGCTAACATGTTAAAACCTGCTAGCAATATGTTAAATCATGCTAGCAACATGCTAATACATGTTAGCAATGTGTTAAATCATGCTAGCAACATGCTAAATCATTCTAAAAATGTGCTAAAACATGTTAACAATCTGCTAAACCATGCTAACATTTTTAAACATGCTAGCAATATGTTAAATCATGCTATCATGTTAAAACCTGCTAGCAATATGTTAAATCATGCTAGCAACATGCTAAATAATTCTAAAAATGTGATAAAACATGTTAACAATCTGCTAAACCATGCTAAAATTTTTAAACATGCTAGCAATATGTTAAATCATGCTATCATGTTAAAACATGCTAGCAATATGTTAAATCATGCTAGCAACATGCTAAGACATGTTAGTAATGTGTTAAATCATGCTAGCAACATGCTAAATAATTCTAAAAATGTGATAAAACATGTTAACAATCTGCTAAACCATGCTAAAATTTTTAAACATGCTAGCAATATGTTAAATCATGCTATCATGTTAAAACATGCTAGCAATATGTTAAATCATGCTAGCAACATGCTAAGACATGTTAGTAATGTGTTAAATCATGCTAGCAACATGCTAAATCATTCTAAAAATATGCTAAAACATGTTGACAACATTCTAGCAATTGCTAAATTATGCTAGCAACATACAAAAACACGTTAACATGCTAAATCAAGCTATCAGCATGCTAAAACGTGTTAGCAACATGCCAAATCACACTACCGATGTGCTAAAACATGTTAGCAACATATTTGCAATGTGCTAGAACTTGTTATTGGCTTTAAGTAAAATCTTCAGACTTTTCAAAGTTATTTCAAACTTTCAAACAAGGCTTTGTCAAGCCAACATCAAAGTTTGTTTACAAACTTTACTCATCTAGTTTGAAATATGTAATTCAAATGCCCAGAGGCCTTGCAAATACAGCTGCCGTGTGAACAGACAGACATTGACAGGTGAAACATACTTTACCCAGGGTTAAAAGTGGGGTTAGGCGCAATGTGAAAAGCCCTACTGTCTACTACTGTTATATGGGAATGAACAACTTTGACATTCTATTAAACACCTCCTCTTGCGAATGACATGAAGGTAAGTAAATGAAGACACATTTTTTGCCAATCTGCGAGAACAATATCATCAGTCCACCTGCTAGTTATTCATCTCTTGACTTCAAGACAAACCACATGGAAATTTCTTTAATCCTTTATTTAGTCAGGCTCACACAGGTGATTGCATCTCTGCAGCGCTGCTCGAGGCTTGTGTCTTAAGAGACCTGCCTTTGATTACATGTAAACAGCTCCTTGTCAGTCTGCAGTACACGAGCCCTCTTGACTCCTCTGAGCTCATGCTCACCACTGGTGGGCTTTTATTCACGTGTTGCTAGGATACACAACTTTCAGATGAATCACAATCATTGTGGGGCATGTGCCATTCTTAAAATCTGCTCTATAAATATTAAAACAATGGACACAAAATGGGAAATCTAGAAGTTTGGATGCACTTTTAATCTGCTATCAAACGTTGGGAGCTTTAATGTAAATCAATAGCAAAACTATTTGTATTCATTTTATATATAGTCATTGTGCTGCAACATAAAGTTGAACAGAACTCTTTGGTAACATTATAAATGTTTTTACTATCGGTTTTAATCTATTTAATACATCCTTGCTGAATAAAGGTAGTCATTTACCAAAAAAGACATAACAAAATCATTTGGTCTTAAAAAGTACGTCAGAATGATTATCCTTATTTCAGGAAATGTAACTCTCTGGTGCATGAAATATTTAATAAAATCTATTAAATAAATATATTCTTTATGTCAAAACAAGAACTTCTTCTCCACAATGATGCATTAATGTATTTTGAGAGTGGTGCACATTTCCCCAATGCAATAGAGAATAATGGTAAATGCAGAGGTTGCTGCATCACTATTTTCATCAGCCATTGTGAATTTATATTTTGTATAATGAACAGAAAAGCAAACACCTATAAAGAGAACAATCATATTGTATTGTGGGTAAGAGTCAAAGGTTGTGTTAGTGAGGATGTGATTTTAAAGATCAGTCTACAGTAGCGGATGCATAGAGTGCATCTGAGAGTTAAAAGTATAAAACCTGAACACAGTAGAGAAGAGTAAGCTCTGAATGAGATGTGTTGAGATTGTGTTTTGAAATGTGTTTGATCTGCTGTATTGTTTGATCAAATATTTCTGTGTGCAGTTTCAGATAGCGAAATAAAATAGTAATAATGTTCACCACATATCCCAGTGCCAGATACATGCTGTGACTGAACAAACAGACACTTGAGAATCATGGGAGGAAAAAATAAGAGTTTATGATTCCACTAAAAAAATACAAAATGTCAGGGACCGTTGTATAAAGAATGAATTCATAACACATAGAAGGCACATATCACAGCCAGCAAACCATGTTTTCTAATAAGAATACAAATAGGAAATGCACTTTCCCCCTGCATTTTAGAAGTGTTAATGTTTCTGAACAGTCCCTTTTTTTATTTGTACATCTACATGTGTTGAGAATCAATGATATCCAGGTACTTTGCTTCAATAATCTTCGGCAACAAGTAGTTCCTGCAAAGAAAATTTTATGTTATGGCATATATGTTAATTTGGCCCTTTTTCAGTGTTGAAATATATGAAAACTGCCTTATCCGTCAGGATACCAAATCTGCATTGTTTGACAGACGTTATGCACACAAATACAGTAAACAACAGACAAGCTGCTTTGTTATAATGATAAAGACATTGTAAATGTACACTCAGAAATAAGGTACAGTATCCTTTCAAAACGTACTAATGTGTACACTTTAGGTACTAAGTGCTTTTAAGGTACTAATATGCACCATTTAGGGGTAAAAAGATGTACCTTTTTGCTTGTATACCTTAGGATACCGCCTCAGTGACAGCATTGTACCTATTTTTCTATAATCGTAGTGACCGCTCTGATATAAAAACTATGGCGTACCTTATTGGAATGAGCATGATCATGAGTAAAGGGAAGATCATCTTCATATAGGGCAGAGGGTACATCCCAAACGCACACAGGATGATCAACTGAACAATCTGCAGGCCTGTGAAATAATGTACCTTCCTCTGCGGCACTCTGCGGATGTAGTGAGTGGGTGGATACGACGTCTTGGGAACACAGATTGAGATAAGAATGATCAGTGACAGATTTGTGTTAGTTCATATTAGTCAACATAGAAAGCTAACATAATCTTATTTACTTTCCTAATACACATTCCATGAAGGAACCAAGAAGAATTTCCAGCAAAAAGCTGATGGTCTGTTTATGCTGAACACAAAACCACTGCACAGTGCGACACAGAAGATACTTGATCTTAAAGGGGTCATATGACGTTGCTAAAAAAGAACATTATTTTGTGTATTTGGTGTAATGAAATGTGTTTATGCAGTTTAAGGTTCAGAAAACACATTATTTTCCACATACTGTACATTATTGTTTCTCCTCTATGCCCCGCCTTTCTGAAATGCGTTGATTTTTACAAAGCTCATCGGTCTGAAAAGCGAGGTGTGCTGTGATTGGCCAGCTATCCAGTGCGTTGTGATTGGCCGAATACCTCAAGTGTGTGACGGAAATGTTACGCCCCTACCATACTGTGATGCCCTGTTCGGCCGGAGCGACGAGACAAAAACATGAAAACCCATTATAAACAAGGCATTTGTTGCATCCAGTGGGGACATAATTATGGATTATAATGACTTATACTGTCTTTTTACGCGTTGGGTTGCAACGCGCCGCGTAAACATAAAATCGTGTCTGCATTTGTGATCGGAGAAACGACAAACAACAAGCGCTAATGAAACACAGCGTCTTCACAACATGGCGGCGGCGGCAACAATAAAGTTACGCCTTCTGTCTTTGCTTGAACATTTGGGCGGCGTTATGCAAATCTTCCCACATCGTGACGTAGACATGTGGGGGCGTGTTAGAACGAGGCGTTTTAGGAGGGCGTGGACGAGTCTTAACTTTTATAAAGAATATCTCTTTGGGTTTGAGACTTTAGTCTTTGCAACTTTAGGGATCTTATCTATTCACGAACAGCTTGTAACACTCCAAAGAGAAAGGAAAACTTGAAATCGCATCATATGACCCCTTTAAACATACAGTTATGAAGAGTTGAATTTTGGGCCAGTGAGATATGACTGTGACCGGTGTTTGACTCTTGATGTGTCTTGTCAGTACAAAATCTAAGATTTACCTAGTTTCCCTCAGAAATTTGTCACATTACTTTAAAATCTGTTGCTAATGCTTTCATGTTGACTTTAAACCTGTAAATATGCAGTGTTTTGGAATAGATTGGGATTCAAAAACAACCTAAGATTTATGACTCTTTACAACCACAGATAGTCCTTCACTCCACTGTATAGTGATATACAGGTGCATCTCAATAAATTAGAACAGTGTTTCCCAACCGGGGTGCCGTGTGTAAAAAATCCTTTTTTAATATTTTTAAATTGCTAAAATTTTCAAAAAAGCATCTATTATATAATATCCATTTCTGATGTCGCCAATAATTAGAGATGCACCGAAATTTCGGCTGCCGAAAATTAGTTCACCGCTCAGGTTTCACTTTCACGTGGTGTGACGCTCTGCGTATTATCCCGCTCTATGTGTGTGCGCTCCGCTTATTTAATACACGAGTTTCACAATTTGAGTTGAATTACTGAAATAAATGAACTTTTCCACGCCATTCTAATTTATTGAGATGCGCCTGTATATTGATTTTCCTTGGGGTTGTACAATCTGAAGTCAGCACTATTAAATTACACAATAAATGATGTATCATTGATAAATACTGAGTGATCTGGAGACTTGGATTAAGGTCAGAAAGCCTTGTGTTTGAAACCCAGAGGAACATGTACAGCTTTAAAATAAACTAAGTTACGGTGAATGTTTAACTGCTTGTATTAAGTGTCTTTATTGACTTTATTAACTTGAGCTGTAATGGATGGTGCTCTTAATATACAGTGACACTCATCGACTGTTTTTAACAGTTTATGGTTAATTTCAAAAGACATCAGTGAAGAAAGATGCATTTTTTCCCCACACAATGGTGTAGTACAAATTGGCCTAAGAACATTTTTTTATTTAAATGTATGTTTTTTTTTCATATTTAAATCAAAAATTGGTTTCAACCAGGAAAAGTCCCAGTGTTGTTCCCTATGTCCAGTTCATCCCCAAACATGGATTAATAATTAAGCTGCTAAAATGAATAGTTCTTCTCTACTCTTCAAAAGTTTTGGGGCTGCTAAGATTTTGTAATGTTTTTGAAAGAAGTCTCTTATGATCACCACAGATACATTTATTTGATCACAAGTACAGTAATATTGTGAAATACTATTACAATGTAAAATAGTTTTCTGTGTGAATCTATTGTAAAATCTAATTTATTCTTGTGATCAAAGCTGAATTTTCAGCATCATTACTCCAGTCTTCAGTGTCACATGATCTTCAGAAATCATTCTAATATGCTGATTTGCTGCTCAAGAAACAGTTCTGATTATTATCAGTGTTGGAAACAGTGGTGCTGCTTCATATTTTTGAGGAAACCGTGATACATTTTATTTTTCAGGATTCACAGATGAATAG